TGGGAAGAGTAATGTTCCTAGTCTGGTTATTGGGCTCATCATGCTAGAGGATCAAGTGTGAGATGTGCCCAGGTGGTTGATGATCGGAAACTCGATGACGGCCTGTACATATGGAACTCAACTTCAACGCCTCTTTGGAGCAGCCTGCGGTACATGAATCTCGAGTGAACCTACTTCAGATGATCTACCGCGGTTACTGTGTACCGTGCTCAGTACTTTACCTGATTAGAAGTTTATCATCGTCGATGCTCATCGGCAAAGGAAGTTAAACAATAAAGTAATCCGAGCTCCTGAGTCTGTCATAGCCGAGTACAGACTGACTAGGAGCAAGTGTATCATCACAACTCACACGTCATCTCACGCAAGCAGGTGAATTGCGTGAAGAAGCGGTGTCCATTGGCCGTTGTCCCCCGGCCACGGAAGAAATTATGATGAACAAGAAGGACATGAAGCAAGCTGATGGGAATTCAGATTGCTTGGAAGATACGGACATGAAGTAAAGAAGTATGCATAAATAAGGGAGCTATAAGGTACGAGTTTGTGTTTCCCCAAGTTTCCTGTTTGAATTTTTGACAAACACGTGCTTTGGCATGTTGCGCAATCTGACGCAGTTAATTTCGCGGGGCTTGGGAGAATGGGCTTGCTTTTTCACGTCTGTGTGCTTGTTGGTGTTCTCCTGGACGCCTTGTTATGACTGGTAGAGGTTCGATGATCAACAATTGCCCCGAGTCACCATACATGATGCCAGTTGTCCTTTTCGGAACTCTGCGCAATTGCGCAAAGTGGCGGTCGAAACGCTCAACGCCATCCCATGACAGGTAAAAAAGAGCCGTGATGCGTCGTCCAGCGTCAGAGTAACTGGAGAGGTGATGGTGTGATTCATTGGATGGAATGGTTTGATAATGTGTCCTTTGTGATGGTTGTAGGTTATAAAATGGCAATCAAGGGCTCTACAGACATTCAACAATCCAGCGCAAAACACAATCTTGTCTTAAACCAGTTCCAGGGCTTTCATTAAAAAATACAGCGTCCATCAGGTAAGTGCCAGAAGCTGACGGGGTTGAGGAATGGGCTCGCTGTTGATGCCTCACAGTCGTGATCATGCTAACGTGGCGTGCTCAGTCAGCAGGCCCGCAGCAACCATCGCCTCCTGCAACGTCTGCCAGATCCCCCCCGTTCTCCCCGCGAGGAAACAGCTCCACTACTCCCACTTCACCACCACCACCTCCATCCATCACCGAACTCGACGTCCCCCAATTCAACCCGCTCCTACACCAACCCTGTGAGTCGCCTAGCTACCATCCCTCATGCCTCTTTATGCTCTCGTCCCCGCCTTTGCCTCCTTACCCCTCAGGCTTCGCGTCGACCAGCACCTTGAGATCCCCTGAAAGAGCCGCACCTGGCAGCTATCTCCAGCTCCCACTCGCTTGCTCTGGTCTCTTCTCCCTTTCTGAATCAGCATTTCCCCTCTTCACGTCGATTCATCATCACCGCCATCGCCAGCTACTGCTACGGACTTGACTGACCTCCTTCCCACAGCTCTTTTACGACTTTGCACGGCTACTTGCCTTAAACCGCTACAATGGGTATGAGCATATCGAAACTTCTCTCTGGCCTCTTCGGCAAGAAGGAGATGCGCATTCTCATGGTCGGATTGGTACGTCTATCGTCGCTGATACTCCTCCACTTGCTGCCACTTGCTGCCACTTGCTGCCACTTGCTGCAACATCTTTTGCCAACGCACCGACGCGGCACGCTCCGAGCCCTTTCTGGTGTTTCAAACCGCTGGAGTCACATGTCATCCTGGGGATCCAACTTAATTGAGAGAGGTTGATGATGGAAATGGCGGGCACTGGGCTGTTGGAGCGCTGAAGCGTCGGTGAAAGTGATATTTTTTGAGGTCTGAAAGGCTGACTCGAAATTTTTGGTGTTGTGCAACAGGATGCCGCCGGAAAGACCACCATTCTGTACAAGTTGAAGCTCGGTGAAATCGTCACGACCATTCCCACCATTGGTGAGTTGCCTAACGGAGCTTTACAACGACTCCTACCAATTCGCAATAACGTTTGTGCTTGTGTTGGAGCTCCTTTTAGGGGCTTCTCTCGTGCTGCGCCTTGGCGACTTGGCAGAGTTTGGGATGTTTGCTGACCTTGAAATTTTAGGATTCAACGTCGAGACTGTCGAGTACAAGAACATTTCATTTACCGTGTGGGATGTTGGCGGACAGGACAAGATCCGCCCCCTCTGGCGCCACTACTTCCAGAACACCCAAGGAATCATTTTCGTCGTCGATTCGAACGATCGGGAGCGTGTTAGCGAGGCCCGTGAGGAGCTTCAGAGAATGTTGAATGAGGATGAGCTTCGGGATGCCTTGCTCTTGGTCTTTGCCAACAAACAGGATCTGCCGGTAAGTTGATATGGGGTTTCCAAGTTCAAGGAATGGTTACTGATACATGTTGTAGAACGCCATGAATGCTGCTGAGATTACCGACAAGCTTGGCCTCCACAGTTTGAGGCAGCGCGCCTGGGTGAGCTGACACCATCCTTATTATCCTTCTGGGCTTCTTCTAATAGAAATCATTAGTACATCCAATCCACCTGCGCCACTTCCGGAGACGGTCTTTACGAGGGTCTCGAGTGGCTCAGCACCAACCTGCGGAAGCGCACCAACTAAGGAGTTGTGGGGTTGACGGTGTTAGGTGGGGAGATGTGATGAGGGGTGGGCGGAGGCTTATATCTGTGGACCACTAAACCATCCGCTGTTTTTGTCGTTTTTTTTTGTCTTGGTCAAGGTCACTCTTCCTTTGCTCACTCTCTCGTCCGATCACGATGTTACGCTACTTGAGAGGTTGAGACATCATGATTTCACGCATAACTGGAAACGTTCTTCGATCCTGGACCCTACTCGCTTCAACTATTACGAAAACTCGACCTCTATCTTGTACCGGCGAGCCTTTTACCGCGTTGTCATCAAACTGCTGTTCCGTACTTTGCTTGTTGTTGTCTGCCGCGTCTTTCTGTCTTATTTTGAAGCTAAACATTGCACTGTTGCTTGTGTGTGTATCTTCGTGGTGCGTGGACCGATGGTGACGGATGGTGGGATACTCGAAGGTCGTAAAAAGTGATTGTTGAGGCATGGTGTCTCGATCACTTACGTTCATGTTTTGTCTATTCGTGGTACATTATCATTATTTTTATTTTATTTTTGAACCTGATGACGCCGACAACGCTGCTCCGTGATTTTCAAGAGATGTAGAATTATTTGTAGAGGTCATCACGCACACGTCAGGCTTCCCTAGGGCCGGTCTGATGATCCCCAAGCGAAAGGCGGGGAACCTCCAATAGGGAAGCTCGCATGTGAAGCTCATCGCGAGAAACTTAACCACTGCTCATCGCCCACCCACCCCACCTCGGCCCATTATCGCAGTTCTCAACGGCGCCCCCAAGTACAACATCGTCGCATCCTGCACTTTGGCAGTTTCCTGACATCTCCACTGCAACCCACGTCTGCCTGCAAGCAACATCAGAAGCCAGCAGCACCAACCATGGCGATCCTCGACCTTGAAGAGCAGCTCGTTTTCGTAAGTACCATCTGGATGACTTTGAAGGCATTCAAAAGCTGACTCGCATTTGTCTAGTACGGCTCCTACCACACCCACAAGGCACCGCCCCTCAGACCAACACCCTCCATGAACCCAGACTAACCCAAAGCCTCCCAGCACAACATCACCATCCACATCATTTTTGTCCCGATCCTCATGTTCGGTCTCTTCCTCCTCTCCTCCTCCTTCGCCCTCGCTTCGAACCCATATCTCAACCTCTCGACACTCGCCTCCCTGCTCTACTCGTCTCTCTACATTGCGATGGAGCCCGTTGCAGGCTCCATCATCACTCCATACATCATCCTGCAATCTCTCCTCGGGACGTACTTGCATCTGCAGTATGGCAACGACGCTGTTTACTGGGTCGGCGTGAGCCAGATTGTGGCCTGGGGGATTCAGTTTGTCGGACATGGCGTCTTTGAGAAGAAGGCCCCCGCGTTGCTGGATAATATTGTACAGGCGCTGTTTTTGGCGCCGTTTTTTGTGTGGCTGGAGGTGCTGTTTATGTGGGGTTATCGCCCCGAGTTGAGGGATAGGGTGAGTAAGAAGGTGAAGACGAGGAGGGCGGAGATGGATGCAAAAAAGGGTACGGATGGCGTTAAGAAGGAGCTGTAAATGGGGTGGAGGAGATAGGAGTGGGAGTGAAGGGAAGAGGCGCGTCATGGAATCTAGTGCGGGTTTTCGAGAGGTTGGAGTTGGTGAAGGAGCTGAATACTAGTACGTATCTGCTGATGTGGTTTTATATCCCTTCCGGAGACATGCGTTGGTCATATCTCATTGGAGCTTGGTCTCCTCTTGTTGATGTATCGTAGCGAAGCACTGCTCTGGTGTTAATAGTTGGAATTTGTTACTTCGCGTCCCCGTAACTTCTGCTCGTATATAAGGGAAGGTAGTTTGGACAATTTCCATGCGAAGAAGCTATCAGATTACTTTGGTCCACCATTTGGGGATGGCAGTAATGCAAAACGGTGAATACCAGCTCCATCATTCTGCGTAATAAAAACAACAAGGCTCGCCCCCTATTAGGATAGCAGCTGTAGGGCTTGATTCTTAGGATTTTAACAGATCCCATTTATTTACTGGCCGCTTTAACAACGGAGCCAATAGACCGAAGGTTGTGATGCACATTGCCTTGGGTTGGATTGATTGACTTCACGTCTCCGCAGGCGAACATGGCCACTTTTTCAAAAACTGTAACTGAAATAAACGGCCTCCAAAATAAGCATTCTTTTCACCATCAACCCGCTCCAAACCAAGAGAAACCTACCAACTGCTGTCACATCGCAGGTTCATCACATACCACTAACATTCTCGGAACCCGGAGCCGGACGTCGCCTCGTTAGGTGATGTGACACTGCAGAAACACGAAAAGAGAAAACAAAAAAAAAAGGTCATTTCAGGTCACGCTGGGGATCGAACCCAGAATCTCTTGATGTCAAGTGTTAATCGTAGTCAAGCGCCTTGCCATTGGGCCACGCGACCGATTTTTGATAACAACTTTTGTCTTGAACAACTTTAAAACGCAACAATGTCAGCGTGCCGTAACTCGAAACACCATCCTAGGAGCCTATGGTCCGTGTCTCTGAGGTGAAGATATGAACAATTCACTCAGAGTAACTTGAAGGTTAGAGCTTGGTCAAGCTAGCCATCTTGAACACAACTACAGTATGATCATTGAAGGAGAGTTGAATTGAGTTGTGAACGGACCAAGGTGTGCATGGGCTCATGGAATTGACTCGATTTCTTAAGACATGGAAGATGGTGAATACCTCAACCCACCCTAAGAATCGGTAACGCTTTCACCCAACTCTAGGCCACATTGTATGATGATCCAATCACGAGAGGTCAAGGGCATGTCTGTGAGGTGATGAGAACCTGGAAAGTGAGTAAAAGGTGATAACGTGATAATTGCCATGTTTCTCCGTATAATTATAGTCTATAGGGTGTGGGTTTGGATTAGACCACTGTGACGTAGTGGACCGAATGACACGCCCGGAGCTCTCTAGACACGGCGTTTGAGCACAATAGCAAAGGAAGCTCGGGATTGCTCATAGCTTCACGAAGCATAGGTCCGGAAAGCACTTGTCAATAGGTATCTCGCGATTATCGAAGAACGCCGTTGGAATCATTACACATCGTCTTGACGCTGTATCATTCCAGACAGAAGAAATGAAAATTCAATACAGAGACAAGACAAAGACACCTGTCGCCAGTCCGTGGAAGAAATAAAGCAGAGCATGCCGTTCCGAAAGCCCCAAAGATCCATGCTTTTTATTGTGCAGACCATTTTCCCGACCGCCACGCACCCGCGAAACTCCCAAACAGACAAGACAACCCATCACCAACCATCCCACGAAACCATTTAGAAAGTGCTTGGCCTCTTCGCAGCGAAAATCTTTCCGGGGGCCTTGTGGACACGGTGAGGAAGGGGGAACTTGAGGCCCTTGGTGAGGAGCTGCTTGATGTACGGCCGCCTGACGTCGGCGGTCTTCTCGACCTCGACGACCTTGAGGATCTATTCATATTGTTAGTTGCGTGTTCGTTGGTGTCGACGGCCGTGGAGGAACATACGTGGATCGACCTGAAGCGGGCACGGTGGCGGGCAGCCATGTCCTGGTAGAGGGTCTCGACGGCATCGGTGCGGGTGAGCTCGCGGTACTCCTTGTACATGTTGTGGGTACCAGACCGCGAGTCATAGCGGATCCAGATACCGTAGTTCTTGACCCGGGTAGGCCTCTTCTCGTGGACCTGAATCGACATAGTTAGAATCGTATATCATGTTGATCTATACTTCAGCCAGCTTCGAATATGTGGGCACATACAACGTTAAGAGCGACGATCTCACCGGCGCTCTTCTTGACCTTCCTCAACTTCTTCAAGAAGTACCAGAAGCGAGACTTCGCGACCACGACATTGGGCGCAAACAGCTTCATCTTGTAAAGCTTAGGGGTCGGCTCCGCCTCGGACGGGAGCTTGCGGCCGATGACCAGGTATTCTTGGAGGCGACCTGTGGAGTAATCCATCAGCGCTCGTCCCTTCATCCACTGGTGTCCTCCTCATTGCTCTTCCATATCCATATCTCAATTGCGCGCAGCTCAAGTAGAACGGCGGCAGCATTTTCTCCCCCCTCTTTGAAACACCCATTTCCCTCCAAAACCCATTGTCCAACCATTCATATCCCCCCAAATGCTGCCGTCGTTCGTCTCGGCCGTTGAATCGCAGTTCGATATCGTCGGAGGTTCGAGGAAGTGTGGAGATGCGGAAACGTACCCATGCTGGACGAAAGTTAGCGAGCTGGCGGGATTCGGACGGCGGCGGCGGGACTCACGCTGTCTGTGTCTGCGGGGTTAGTCGGTCGGTGGTGGTCGTGAATTCGGTGATGCTGGGCGTAACTCGTCGTCTCCAAACTCCGCCAGCATCGGCGTGGATGTGGGCGATGACTGCGGCCGCCAAGCCAGGGCACACCACGCGAAGCCCTAGCTCCCACACTGTTACCCGGAACCTGTCCCCAGGTCATCGACAGTTATACAGAGCTTGGAGCTCTTTCACTTAAGAGCGAGTGTCAAATTGGATTACTGAAGCATTTGAGTACTTCGAGAGACCCGTTGAAGGGGAGTGCTCACGGTGGTTGCGCCTCGAATTTCAAAGTTGGAGAATCCTATCTCTCCCAAGACTGTATCACAGTATGTCAGGGGTTAAACAAACATGTATTTGGGATTGATATCGCTACACTTCTCACCCAACACGGTTCACATACTTTCACTTGTACCACTTGATCTGTGCGCGTGTGTTGTGCGCACACTGGATCCTGGTCTTCTGTCACGTGCTCTGCACTCCACGAGCTCTAGCTTCGCGACTGTCGGACATCCGCGTTAAGCTCCTACAGTCGTCATCATGTTCTTGTCAGTCACCCGACTTCTCATGTCTGTCGTCGCTAACTGGCCTTCATAGTACCGACCTGCGCTCGGCCCTTGTCGGACAGAATGCTCTTCTCCTTGGAACCCTCTTCAACCCCACCAACTCCGACTATTCTCGCTCCTTCGCCTACTCCTCAAACGCCGCTCAGATCAACGAAGTTGTTCGACGTGAACTCGGTTCCTTGAGATCCGCTGGATTCACTAATAATGGAAAGGAAATCATGATTGAAACCGTGGTTGCGTTTTGGAATGTCGTTTACGAGTTGGAAAGATCAGGCGTCACTACACACCGCGAGCATGATGAAGGATATTGGCCGAAGGTCTATGCGGCTCAAAGGACTGTAATGGGCCTGGTATGCCGGGGATTCAATACTGGAGGATGGGCTAATTGGATGCTGCCAATGCTATACTCAACCTGTCGATACCTACGAGAGTTTGCAATGGCGGCAGATGATGAGGACAGCAAAGCAGAAAACGCAAGCTCGTTAGAAGACGCCGCTCGACACCTTAACAAAGGGTTCACATTGTGCTTGAGTGATCGGTGGGTATATTTGAGCCCATTCGAGCTATCATACTGATTATTATGCAGAGCACCTCTCCCGGAAAGTAGGAAATGGGGGACATACTACATGGCCAATATCTTGTTCAAGACATATTTCAAGGGAGGTTTTATCTCAAAATGCGCGAGTAGTCATTACTGACAGCCTTCCAGTTAAACTCTATCACGTTATCGAAGAACGTTCTGAAGGCACTTGAAGCACTTGGTAAAGATCTGCCACCAATAGAGCAATTTCCGAAGAGCCACATTGTCACTTTCAAGTACTACGTTGGCGTTATCAACTTCTTGGAAGAGCACTACAAAGCGGTAGGATATGGGACTTTCCCCTGTTGAGGACCCACAAACTGATGCATTTACAGGCGGAAGAGAATCTTCTTACCGCATTACAACTTTGCAAATCTACGGCATCTTCGCGCAATCACCAATTGATCCTCACCTATCTTATCCCGGCGCACCTCATTACCACCCACCAAGTACCTTCTTCCGACCTCTTCCGCAATTATCCCCGTTTACGCACTCTATTTGGACCGATAACCGCTGCGATTCGTTCCGGAAATCTTCAAGCATTCGAGGCCGCGCTGGAACAGAATGAAGATGAATATGTTAAGCGACGGATCTATCTGACACTGGAGAGAAGTAGAGATATTGTTCTCCGAAATCTGTTCAGGAAAGTCTTTTTAATCAGCAACAAGAGCACCAGGATACCGGTGGAGGATTTTCGAAAGGCCATGGGGTTCAGTTTAGCAGGGAAGAATGGGGGTCTTAGGAAAGAAATCGAGGCTGAAGAGGTCGAATGCTTGCTCGCCGGCATGATCTACAAGGGCTTGATGAAGGGATATATCTCGCGAGACTACGGGAAGGTTGTGTTGAGTGGCACATCAGCATTCCCTGGAACTGGCGTATAATACGAAAATGGTGTATTTACTAGTTTTCATGTAATGTTCAAACTTAATGGGATGATACATCAATTAAATATTGAACAATGAAGTTCATCATGAGTGTTTCTATTGATAACGGTTCCTGAAAATCGCTCCCACGCGAATGGTGGAGCCAATTTTGGTCTGTGTAACACGGAATTTCTGTCGTCACCACACATCGGAAACTTTCTAGCGCGCTTCTTCCTTCACCTCCTCTCCGACACAGTGATGTCTACCTCCACGCCGCCAAAAACCCCGTTACCTTCCTCAAAACGCCGCCGTATTGATGCAAACGCAACTCTCGCAAAGCCTTTCCGTTCACCGTTGATCAAGAAGCCGGACTCTGCTGATTCCTCTTCCGAAAGAACCCAAACTCCATCATCTACTGTCCCCTCAACACCAATCTCGGTTTCTCGTCCTTTAGGAACCGTCCATCCACCAAACCCGCTACCTACGCCCCTATCCCGTCGCCCACGCCCTATAACCTCTCCACTCAAACCACTGTGGACCAACCCTGCTCTCACTGCTCTTCAGAAGAAACACACTGCCCTAACGAACCAACTCCGCGAAGCTCGACAGTCGCTGGCAACGGCGCAACAAGCTGCCGATCTTGAAGCTTCCACCAAAGATGTCGCCCTCAAGGGGGATATTGAGCGGTGGCAGAACGCGGGGCGCTCTGCTGCTGAGGCGTTGTTCGCTGCCGCGACAGAGAGGGTGAATCGACTGGGTGGTCCTGGTGGTGAATGGAAGGATGTTCTGTTCAAGAAGAGCCGCTGGGCTGAGGAAGAGGAGGAGGAGCGGAAACAGGCATTGGAGGATGCAGCAGAGGAGAGAGGCGTGACTGTGGAAGAACTACTAAGGGAGGCAGAAGCTCAGGGACTGGAGTTGGGCGACAGCAATTCTGGAGGAGTGAAAGGGGTTACAGAAGAGGCGACGTGGGGGATGGGGGTGATGCTCACGGCTCTGGGAATATCTCACGACATGCTTGGTTGGGATGAACAAAACGATTGTTGGAAAGATTGAGAACACTCAACTCAGGACAGGTAGGCATTTGATGGCGTTTGGCGCGACTACATTCAAGGAGTTCGT